TGATATGATGACGATGATGATGACGATCGATGATATTGATGATGATGATGATGATGATGATGATGATGATGATGATGATGATGATGATGATGATGATGATGATGATGATGATGATGATGATGATGATGATGATGATGATGATGATAATGATGATGATTTGTAACCTTCAAGACTATGTCATGCGTCACAGGTGAAATCTGCCCTGTCACACGATCCTGCACATGTAGGTTGTAGAGATTCTGACAAGAACGTCACAATGAGAGCAAACGATCCGCCGAGGAGGAGAAGAGGAAAGTGCGACGAGAGGGCAATGAAGATGGAGAGCGATAGCGCGAGCGAAGCAGGAAGAGAGAGGAGGGAGAAGAGGAAGAGGAGGGAGAGGAGGGAGAGGAGGGAGAAGAAAGGAGAAGAAGGGGGAAGAAGGGGGAAGCAGGGGGGAGGAGATAAGGAGGGAAAGGGTGGGAGAGGAAGAAACAGGAGGGGGAGAGGGAGAGAATAAAGGGAGGAGGAGAAGAGAGAGGGAGGGAGGGAGGGAGAGAGGAAGGAAGAGGCGGGAAGAAACAGGAGGGGAAGAGGGAGAGAATAAAGGGAGGAGGAGCAGAGAGAGGGAGGGAGAGGGAGAGGGAGGAGGAGGCGGGAAGGGAGGGAGAGGGAGGGAGAGGAAGGAAGAGGAAGGAAGGGAGGGGAGAGAGAAGGGGTTCCAAACCTCCTTTTTGACGATGGCGACGAGGATGTAGAAGAGGAGTATTCCTCCATAACCACACAAGAAGACATGCGATGCAAGGAATGCGAGAAACAATCTGAAAGTTTGACATGTCAACATCAACAAGATCAGAATGTCTCATGAGAGCGAGTTCAAGACAACCAAATGACCAACAAGTGCAAACACATATCGCCCAATGGTGTCAAGCACGACAACTATCCAATCATCATCTGCAGCAACAATCCTTTCTCAACCTGTTGTTGTTGGATCCAACACAGTTGTTGATCCATGGGCAGTGATGATCGAATCTCCCAACACACTGAGCCACCGCTGTCACTCAACGACATTCAAACATGTCAACCTACTCGATCGCAGATAGAACAGTGCTTTGATCGCGCTGGGCGAACAAACTTGCACGTATAACACTCTTTCTCGTGATACAAAATGCCGTCATAGTCGAACCTCTGCGAACTTAACGTCAGTCGAGACTATCGTCTCTCCTACCGCCCAGTTCTCCTGCTCCCCTGCTCCCTTCTCTTGTTTCTGTTGAAGCTTCCCCTACCACAGCTGTCTCCTTCATCCTCCCCACTCCTTCCAGCTCTCTTTTTCTCCCCTCCTCTATCTCCACCTCCTTGTCCTCTATCCACCTCCTTCCTCTATTTTCCTCCTCCTCAACCACCACCTCCACCACCACCATCTCCTCCTCCTCCTCCTCCTCCTCCTCCTCACTCACTCACTCACTCACTCACTCACTCACTCACTCACTCACTCACTCTTCCTCCTCACCTTCTTCTCCCTCTCTACATTCTCTGGAGTGATGACACCAGGGTCAACAGAAAGGTTCGCCCAGAACACCACAAGGCATCCTCCTACAATCAGAAAGGCGTTGATCTTTCTCGCACGTCAGACTCCTCCCTCGTCTCAACACAGCAGCAACACCTTGTGGTAGAAAGAGATTCCCCAGTCCTTCTCTGCGTGGTAAGGGAGGTAGGGGAAGGCGAAGGAAACAAAGACTGTGAAACCAACTGTTGTTCGCATGTTCAACAAGTTGGTATACGACGAGAGGCTACATGTCACACCTGCTACAAGAACAAGATACATCGCCGGCAGGATGGGGTTGCGTTGAAAGCACACATAATCTTCAAAGCACAACAGCGTCAGAAACCATGATCAGCACATCATAGTATACCATCCCATCCCATCCCCTGTCAACCCATCGCCTTTCCTCCTCTTCCCTTCCCTCCTCTCCTCTCTCTTCTCTGCTCTGCTCTGCTCTGCTCTGCTCCCTCTTCTCTGCTCTGCTCTGCACTCCCTTCGTCTCTTCTCCTCTCCTCTTAGCTCATCATGATCTACATATCTTTCAGTCTAGAGCCACTACCTTGAATCGCAGTCACTCTGTCGACGCATCTTCTACCCAAAACTTTCTCGACAATCTTGAGGAATTTCTCGCTAGTCCAGAAATCTGCCATCGACAAGTTACAGAGACCCCACCGAGAGAGAGAGGAGGGAGGGAGGGAGGGAGGGAGAGGAGGGAGAGGAGGGAAAGGAGGGAGGGAGGGAGGGAGAGGAGAGGAGAGGAAAGGAGAGGAGAGGAAAGGAGAGGAGAGGAGAGGAGAGGAGGGGGGTACGATGCATATATGCGCTGAAGGGAGACGTGGGGATAGGAGGGATAGTACATGAAGGAATGTAGGCGGAGAAAGTAAGGAAGAGGCATGGGAGGAGGAACCATCGCCTCTGATATTTCTTACCGAGAAAGGACGTGAGGAGGTTGAGGAGTCTGCCCAGAGGTCCTCGTTCGCAACATTCCATGTCCCCGCAGAGGACGATGGCGAAGAGGAGGAGGGAACCGCCGCCTCCGACAGCGAGAGCAGTCATCATCTCCATGGTTGCCGACAGAGCAGGGCAGAGATGGTAGCAGATCAGTGGCGAGGGGAGGAGAGAGAGAAAGAGATAGCAAGAAGAGAGGGGTAACGAGGAAGATGGATGAGGAGGAGCGAACTGAAGGGAGCAAGTCACAGGAGTGTTCGGAGAACGTGAGGACGGAGGAGGGAGGACGGAGGAGGGAGGACGGGGGAGGGGGAGGGGACGGGAGGGAGGAGGGAGGAGGGAGGAGGGAGGGACAGGAGGCAGGACGGGTTACCCTGGAGGCAGGGGGTGGGGTTATCGTGAGATGGTTATAATATATTCTTGGGGGTCATTTGAAGGCGATTGTAGGGTGGGGTGGGATATTTTCTGGGGGTGGGGTAGGAATAGGGTGGAGACATCCCAAGTGAAGGGAAGGAGGGAAAGCGAAGGCAGTGAAGGGGAGGAGGAGGGGAGTAGGCGCGCTGGGGGATGGGAGGGCAGGGCGGGGCAGGGCAGGATAGAAGATGAAATTAAACATAGATCATGAGAGTGTGTAGGTAGCAGGAAGTGAGCTGTCCGATCTTGCTCCCCCCATGTGGTCTCTCCTCTCCACTCCTCTCCTCTCCTCTCCTCTCCTCTCCCCCCATCTTCTTTCCTCTATCCCCTCTGCTCTCCTCTCCTTTCCCCCCATCTTCTCTCCTCTATCCCCTCTGCTCTCCTCTATCCCCTCTGCTCTGCTCTGCTCTGCTCTGCTCTCCTCTCCTCTCCTCTCCTCACCTCACCTTACTCACCTCACCTCACCTCTCCTTCCTTCCCCTCCCTTATCACCGCTCATTTCATCATCTTCTCATCAGCAGCAACTCACACTTCCCTCCTAGGTTTGGCCCTGGAGACTCCAAGAATTGAAGGTCGAGTGAAGACAACATGGCCGGAGGTATGAAGAGCGTTCTCCATGCTAACGGACAACTTACGCCTTGTCGTAGCACGATTCAGAGCTCTCCTCCTCCTCCTCCTCCTCCTTCCTGTCGCTGCTGACCTCGCAACGCTCCATACACCAGCGTCAAGGGCAGTCAAATCGATGTCCAGCGCGCTCAGGACGTTTCAATGGGCGTTCCTAGGCTCTGACCATGGGCACGTCACCAGGACGGCGCAGGAGGATATGGAGGATGCCGAGGAGGAGAAGCCGAGAGGGGAGGAGGCAGCAGATGACGAGGAGGGAGAGGAAATGGAGGAGGGCGACAACGCTGTGCAGAAAGGGGAGGAAGGGCAGGAGGGGCTGAAGCTCCGAGGAAAGTCCTTCTTCAGCCTTGCCCGGTCCATGTCCCAAGACAACCTTGAGAGCATAAAGATCTCTGCGCATGTGACGAAGAAAGTTGCGTCGACCTTGGGCAGCAGCCTGACTAGCAGCATCGTCATCACTGTGAGAGCCTTCATCTTCTCCCTCCTCAACTTCTTCATGGAATTCCGCAATCTCCTCTCCTTCGGTGACTACTGCTCTGGGAGTGTGAGGTTGATGACGTTGATGGCCCAGGTATTGACGCGAGGATAGAGAGTTTGCAGGCAAGGATGCTGAAGGTGGAGGAAGAGCAGCAGGACATGAAGGGAGAGATCGCTTCGCTCCGCTGTCAAGTCGAAGAATTGAGGAGGAGGATGGATGGGGAGCAAGCGGCCCAGTAGCAAGTGAAGCTGCTCGGATCGTTTCCTCTGATTCCTCCTGGTCGTGTGATGTATTCTAATACCAACTCTATCTCCCATCCCTTCACCTCCTCTCTCCTTCCTAGCGCTCAGCTCACTCATCGTCCAACGTCTCACGGCATTCCGAGCCTGTTCCCGGCCTTCCGAAGCCGCCAGTCGACCGCCCCGGGCGGGGGGATCGGATGCCTGTTCCCGACCCGGCTTCAGTCGCGGCCCGGGCCGGGGGCCGCCGCCGCCGGGCCCGATCAGCCCGGCTGGTGCTGGATCCGATCACCGGATGATCACCTGGCGGGCAGGCTCCCGGCCGTCAACAAGCCAGAAGCCTGGGATGCAACAGTTGAACGCCGGGGCCCAGCCCCCTCCGACGGTCCGTCACTGGCAGTGACCGGGGCCAGGGGGGCCGCCCTGCGGGCTCCTCAGTGAGTTGGACTCAGGCTGAGCAGCCTGTGACTCGGACCGCACCAGCGGAGGCCGACGGAGAACACCGTGGGCAGAGCCGCTGAGGCCCAGTCCGTCCGGTCACCTAGTAGCTGGTCGGGATTCGAGTTGCCGCCATCTGAGTATCGGGTCTCTCAGTCTCGGATCGGCGGGCGGCAACACCGTGCCACCGTGTCACCCGGCGGGGGGGGGGGGCGGCAGGCTCGCCGCGAGTCGACCACTGAGAGACTCCTTGAAAATCAGTACTGGGAGGCCCTCACAATCAGGAGAGTAGAGCCTGGGAGACTTGACCCTGACACTGTCACCCACTGTGACACTGTGAGTCAGTCACCAGCGGCCTGCATGCGCCCCGGCGATCATGGCAGTATCACTGAGTTGAGTTAGCCAAACTTGCCAGGGGAGGGAGGAGGGAGGGAGTGTAAACAGTGAGCCTTGAGTTTCACTCGCGGCTTCTCTGCCCGAGCCCCCAGTACAAGAACAAGTTGCTGATGTTGCCCATCACGTGCAGCCTCCCATGCCACACCGCTGCTCGCTCGGGCTGCCGACGAACTCTCCCAGCTCTGTGACGAGTTCAGACCGGAGATATATGATGACCCCAGCTAGGAAGAGAGGAAGGGAGAGGAAGAGAAAAAACAAAATAGGAGAAGAAGAGGTGGACAGGGAGGAGGGCAGGAGCCGCTAGCAGCTTAATACCATTTGACTTATTTGACCTTTTTGAGTATCACACTTTTCCTTCGTGACTTTTTTGACGTATTACACTTTTCCTTCGTGAACAAACTATGAACAACTGCCCTGACGGTATCTCTCTCATCTTCCCTTATCATTCTCGTCTGCCTTCTATGATTATTTGACCTTTTTTGAGTATTACACTTTTCCTTCGTGACTCAACTATGAACAACTGCCTTCTTATCTCTATCACTTTCCCTTATCATTCTCGTCAGGCTTTCACATGATTTCAGCAAGGGGGCGGAAAGGCATGGCGCAGCCTTGCCGCGGGAGCTTGCTCCCCCCTTGGTGACCAATGGCCGTTCTTCCCTTCTGCCGTTCTGCCGTCTGCACAGTGGTCCCGGAGCACCCAACCGACACCCCTATATATATAACTATACCCTTCAAGGTATTAAGGCATCCTGGCCTAGTCGTCATATCCTTTTTCCTAGCCCATACAGTCCCCGGTTCGATTCCCACGATTCCCACCGACTCAAAAAAAAAACAATGACCTCTGACCTGCCTAGGCGGGCCCGTACGCACTAATAAAAACAATTCCAAAAGGGCAGCACTTAACCAATAGGGTCGCGAGTAGTATAAATAAGGCCCGGTAGAGGCCCCCCAAAAGTAGAGGGGGGGTTCCGGGGGTAGCTTCCAGGTCTGCTATGCGTTACCTCTTTTTTTTACGTTACTAACCTCCAACGTAAACTACTTTTCAAAAAGGGGGGTCTACTTTACCCCCCCCTCTACCAGCCTATCTTTTCTATTATTCTTTTTCTCTCCAAAAATCAAAATGAATAAAGATATCTATATGAAACAATACAGAAAATATAAACGTGATTATATTAACTTTATACAAGACATTCTTCTTAAAATACTACGCGATGATAAAGCATTATCCACGCTCTTAAATGCTAATCTTATTAATCAAGATGATATAGAATACCTTAAAACGCATAAAGAAACCGCTAGAGCTTTAAAACAAACTTCTGGAATATTGATAATACATAACCCTGTCAAACTAATATTTTAATATTTTAATTAATAAAATAGACATGGCATGTAATAATAATAATCATCAACCATATCAATACATAGGCAATAACAATCAAACCACATTGCAGCCTGAATTAGATGCCATTAATGCTGATATTACTGTTTTATATGGGAATGTAAATGTGCTCAATGATGAGGTCACACTCCTATTTCAACAAACAAACGCTCTTGAAATTAAAACCATTGAAACTAGCAATAACTTGATTGAAACTAATGATTTGCTAATAGAAACTAGTAATTACTTGATAGAAACAAACGATATCTTATTTAATACATCAAATGATGTTCTTGATTTACAGACACTTATAAAATTTAAACCAGACACTAATGAAACTGTAATTACAAACAATGATAGAAATATATTATATGTCAAATATCAGACTAACCCTAATAAATATATCATTAAATTCACACTTGAAAATGGTTCATTTATTACAATTCAACAGATTAAACAACAATTAGATGATTTAAACAACAATGCTGCCGCGCAAGAAACCGCAAATGCTGCCCAATCCTTAGAAGATTTGGACGATACGGCTGAAAATGGTTTTAATTTATTCAATGGCTTGGGTGAAATTGTTAAGGGAGGTCTTGCAATTGGAACGGGCTTCATTGGGGGATTGATAGCGTCAGGAACAAACACCTCAAAAGCTGATGGCCTGTTTATTCTCTCGTGGATTAATATTTTACGATTATCATTGGGTGTTGTTATATCGGTTCTTGAAGATGAGGTTATAAATACTAAATTACAAGGTAGAGTTATTAAAATATATTCTAGGAATCTTACAGATGGTCAAAAGCTTGATTTAGTCCCTAATCAGGCATTTATATATGACGACACTTATAAAACTCTTGTCATTGATGGACAAGAACAAACCGTTTTAGACGAAAGAAATATTCTTTTTCAAGGTGAAGAAGTAATAACATTAGGCAATGAATTGACACAACAAGAATTGGATGAATATATTTTTGGGATTAATAATGAAAACCTTAAAGAATACAAGATTGTATTTAAAGGAAAAACTTTTTTTATTGATGATGTTATCATACCTAATGTCTATAACAAATATGAGACAGATATATCCATTAAAAATACATCTAACATATTATATGATTATATATATGAAGAGTCTAATATACTATATGACAAAATATATGAAGAATCAAATGTATTATACAATCATATAAGAACAAAACATACAGCAAGCACACTTATAAACGACATCAATCCGGGATTCATAGGCAATCTTTATTTCAATGACAATCAAGAATGGGAATTATCAACTGATTTCTACACAAAACAGCAAGGATTAGATACATTTCTATCATATCAAAATCTGGCAAGCTCTAACTTTCTTAAAACTGATGTCTATACAAGTTATCTCAATAGCTCTAATTTTCTCAAAACGGATACCTACACAAACTTTATCAACAGTTCAAACAGTATATTATATGAGCATATACTTAATGAATCAAATATATTATACAATCATTTAAAAACTGATTCAAACCTATTAAACAATCGCATATATTCAGAGTCTAATATATTATATAATGTTATCAACAATGAAATAAAAAACTCAGTGAATACAAATAATTTAACTGTCAATAATTCTTTAACGTTCTCGGATAAGTTAGCTTTGAACAACAATAATTTAAACATAACATATCCCCTTTCATTATCACCAGTAAAAGGAGATGTTTTTATTGGGCCTACTAGTTTATCAATAAATAATTTATTGGGCACATCTTACAACAACATTGAATTTAACGGCACAATAGAAGATACATTTAAACTTAACATATCAACTTATAGGCTAAACTTTCAAAGCAATAAAAATTTAATAGTCAATGACCTTTTATTTTCTCAGTACATAAACCTTTCTTTTTGGTGGAGATTTGACAACACGAACGAGGCAAGAAACAACGGAACACAAGAATATAGGCTTTTTCAAATCAAATATGAAAATAAGAATGGCAACGATGGTTTTTATGATGGGACTGAATTTTACTGGATTATTTCAGATGATGATTCCTTGCCTGATAAATTTTTGGGGCTGCGGGTCAAGATTGTATATATTAATAATTTACAACAAAGGGTTGAGAATTTGAGGTCTGTTATCATTAACAATAATTTTTCGAATGATAAAACATTGTTTTACGATTGGAATCATTACGCTTTCAGCATATCCAAAGATATATTTAAGGTGTATCTGAATGGTGTTTTGGTGGCTATGGATATCACGCCACCGACTGCGAATTGGTATCAATTACATCCAATTGTCATTTATAATTATAACATTAGAAACTATATCCTAAAAGATGGGAGATATTCAGCTAATAGGGGGATATGTAATATTGTAATGAATGCTACAAATGGTGTATGGTCTGATGATGATGTTTCTAAATTATATAATGGTGATGTTGACAATGTAAAAACTAAGATAACTGGAGGGCTTCACTTAGACCATTTGATATGTGATAATATTTTATATGGTGGTTCTTTTATTACTGTAAATAATCAAACAGTGAGCACACAACAAAGCCTTTCAACAAATAACAATATAAGACGAAGCTTAACCATCAACAATGAGCCGGCTAAGACAGACATTAAAGATTTGTTTGATTCAGCAGATAGACAGGGAATATTTAAAATATATTATGATGAAGCACAACAAAGATATATTTCTACAATTGAAACATTTCAGCTAAATTTTAAGAATACAAGAACAGGAAATGTGACAATAACTTTAAATAATTATAATAGTCAAGATATAACACTACCCGATGGTATCAAAGGTGATAAAGGGGATAAAGGAGATACTGGAAGCACTGGAAGTCAAGGACCAAAGGGAGATAAAGGAGACAGTGGAACTAATGGAACTAATGGAACAAATGGAAAAAATGCGGGTCAAATAATTTTCAAAAACTATGATGGAACCATTGAACTTGCTAAAATAGGTGATTCTAATGTTTCTACAGCTTCTATAAATGTTCCAAGAGGAACAAACGCAGGAGAATTAAAATTCTATAATGTTGATGGTACAGAATTGTTAGGGAAAATAGGAGATGCTAATGTTTCATCAGCATCTATAAATTTACCAGCGGCAGGACCTAAAGGAGACAGTGGAACAAATGGAATAAATGCTGGAGAGCTCAAATTTTTTAATTCTAATGGCACAACTTTGTTAGGTAAAATTGGAGACCCTAATGTTTCAACTCAATCAATAAATCTATATAGTGCTGGGGTCAATGCTGGACAGCTAAAATTTTATAATTCTGATGGCTCAACATTGTTAGGTCAAATCGGAGATGCGAATGTTTCTTCAACAAGTATAAATATACCAGCAGGAGCAACAGGACCACAAGGACCCCAAGGAGCAACAGGACCACAAGGCGCAACAGGACCCCAAGGCGCAACAGGAGCTCAAGGACCAGCCGGCACAAACTGCCCTGAGATTGTTTTATTAGACAGTCAAAATAATGAGCTTGTGAGATTTGGCGATTCAAGCGTTTCAACTCAAAACGTTATATTGCCAAGCACAGGAGGAACAACATATAACTTTGACCCTGCGCAGTTCTTAGTAGATGATAACAATAATGTTTATCTATTTGATGAATACACAAACAATACATATAATACAACCAATTCAGCTTTACAATTGACATTATTCAATAAATCTATATCTCTGATATTTGAAGATAAACAATATGATAATGTCTTGATCACTCCTGAGCTTTATAAATTTCAGTACTCGGCCGCAGGCACAAGCAAATTGACACCTACATTATCATATACAGGAAACACAACAGACCTTATAGCTTGGTATAAATTCAATAATAATTTTAATGATAGTATTTTTACCTATCATCTAGACACTACACCACAAGGTTACTTTTTACCAGACCCAATAACTATACCTTCAACGAATTCATATTTAATTTCTGGCTCAACATCTGATTATTATGTTGAATTTGTTCATATTTCAGGAAATCAAACGACATATAATGTTGAATTTAAGATGGATTTGATATGTGACATTCTTATAGTTGGTGGCGGTGGTGGTGGTGGAACCGCAGCAACTGGAGGAGCTGGATATGAGTCAGGCGGTGGCGGTGCTGGTGGTGTGCTGTATATGGTCAATAAGACAATATCAGCTGGTACCTATTATATTTATGTAGGAAATGGAGGAGCAGCGAATAGAAATGGTTATGACAGTAAAATAACAGATATAAATAACTCCACTCTTTCTTTTGATTCTTTAAGTTTAGTAGGTAAAGGAGGAGGATTTGGCGGCGGTGGTTCCAATGGCTCAAGTGGTGGGTCTGGAGGCTCTGGTGGAGGTGCTGCTTTTAATAGCACATCAGGCGGAACAGCTACTCAAGGAAATACTTTTTGGAATGGTTCAACATATGTTGCAGGCGGTAATAATGGAGTTGGTTTTTATGTAAGTGGTGGCAGCAATCGAGGAGGTGCTGGGGGTGGTGCTGGAGCAAATGCTTCAAATGGACAAGGTGGAAATGGTCGTCAAGTTGATATAACAGGAACGCTAGCATATTATGGTGGTGGAGGTGGTGGAGGAAATAGCAGCAACAATGGAGGTCTTGGAGGCGGAGGAAATGCGAGCGGCACAACTCTCAATAGTGGCACAGCTCAGGCAGGACAAAGCGGAACAGGTGGAGGAGGTGGCGGGTCATACAGTAGTAATGGGTCAATAGCCGGAGGAGCTGGAGGGTCTGGAGTTGTGATAATAAAATATAATCGCACATATGACTTTAATGATTTCACATTTTCAAACTCTGAATATTATAAGCTTTATTATTCTCTTCAAAGCATAGATGATACACCAGACAGAAGACGCGAGACATCGGCACAGTTGCCTTTAATATCATCAGCTCAAACAGGATTAACAATAAGCTTCTTTCTAAAGATAACAGCTTTAAAATCAAACCCAGCCGATGATTTTATATTTTCAACAATTGATAATTTCATTTACATTAAAAGGAATGGCAACAATCTACAATTTACATTTAACAATGAGACCAACATATCAACGCTAACAAATGGATATGCCACATCAACAAGCTTCAAGCATTATTGCTTTGTAAATAATGGAACAACTGCTTATTTATATATTGATGGAATAGCTCAGACACTGACAGGGACAACAACGAGCTTAATAAATACAACTCAAAATATACGGATTGGGGAATTTATCGGATATCTTCAAGATTTGAGGATATACAACAAGACCTTATCACAATCAGAAGCAAAAGATATAATAGGATATTCAGGGCAAGGAACATTAACAGTTCAGAGTTTCGCAAAGCCTTACACCAACGCGCAAATCGATAATAAGATTGATAACATTGTCATCCCTGCTGGATATGATGACACAGACACACAGGCCTATTTAACGGCTAATAATTATATTACATTAACAGATTTGAAGGATGAATCAAATGTTTTATATGCTCATACACTTACAGAAAGCAACATATTATTTAATCAGATTAAGGATGAATCAAATGTTTTATATACATTCATTCAAAATATTGATATACCCGCTGGATACTCTGACACAGATGTTCAATCCTATCTAACAGCTAATGATTATTTAACAAGTGGAAGTCAATTCATAAGGAGTGTAAGAAGTGGAGACTTTACCGTTACAAATGGAGAGCTAATTTTTAGCAAGATTCAAGAATTACCTTTTATAAGCTCTGCAAGTGCTGACTTCACGGTTACACTTGGATATTTAGAATTAGCATCCGCACCATTTACATCAGCAAATCAATTTATCCAATCTGTCAATTCCTCCTTTACTGTTACAGGCAATCAATTAGCTTTATCATTCACACCCTTTACATCAGCGAATCAATTTATCCAGTCGGTCAATTCATCTTTTACTGTCACAGGCAATCAATTAGCTTTATCATTTACACCCTTTACATCATCAAGTCAATATATACAATCGGTCAATTCATCTTACTTTAGCGTTACAGGCAATCAATTAAGTCTAAGCTTCACACCTTTAATATCATCAAGTCAATATATACAATCGGTTAATTCCTCCTTTACTGTTACAGGCAATCAATTAGCTTTATCATTTACACCATTTACATCAGCAAATCAATTTATCCAATCTGTCAATTCTTCTTTTACTGTTACAGGTAATCAATTAGCTTTATCATTTACACCATTTACAAGCTCAGACCAGTTTATCAAATCAGTTAATACAAATAATTTATCGGTCAATGCTAGCGGTCAGCTTGATATCATATCTGTTCCATCAAATTTTATAAGCTCAGTATCAAGCGATTTCAATGTTACCGGTGGATTATTAAGCCTAGCTAATAGCTATGTCCTTCAAAGCACTTTTAATGAACCTCCATAAGTAAAAAGTAAGTATCCTGTTGTTTCATCTATATCATTGTTGGCAATAGTGCTCGTCATAGGATTGATATATCCAAAAAGTTCATTGGCAGAGGAGGTTGGGGCTGGCGAGGGGGGGAATAGCTGTGGGTGGTCCGGATGGAGTGGAGGAGGAGGACGGCTAAGTTCATATGGAGAGGAAGGGAAAATGGACAGTCAGGACAGAGGTGGGAAGAACAAACGTCTGTGAGGTGAGGGACGATGGACCTGACTTATTCTCACCTTCTCGCCTTGAGGTAGCAGAAAACGCCGAGCAAGAGGGACGCGAGGTAGGGAATGAAGAAGCTGCGGTGAGATGGAAGCAATTCGGGCGACCGAAAACTAGCATGAGGGTTATGAGTTCAAAGGAAAGAGGAACAAGAGGAGGGAGGGAGGGAGGAGAGATGGGAGATGGGGAGACAGGCGGGAGAAGGAGAGGGGAAGGGAGGAGAAACTGGGGATGGAGGGATAGGAGGGAGCGGGAGAGTGAGAGACGGAGGGAGCGGATCAAATCTGAGCTTACAATAACTGATATGACAAGCTGAAGATTGTGCAGACCATGTCGATTCTGTTCCACAACATCAATGGAGCACAAACTATGGCCGGGAAAGCTGAGGGGGAGAGAGGGAGAGCAGAAGGGAGGAAAGGAGGAAACAAGAAGGTAGAAGCTGAGACCACCATGACATGGTTATGACGTGGGTTATGTACCCAGGGAGCATGGAGCCAAGTGTTGTTCAAATGGTGACAACTTCTCTATTGGAGGTTTGGAAAGGAGGAGGGCGAGGGCGGGGGGGGGGAGATGGGAGGGGATGCAAGTGTAGGAAGGATATTGCCTCCTGCGGTATCCGAACGTCGGTCGTCGCCAGTAGTTGATGGAGGTGAGGAGGACTGCGAGCGCTAGGACAGCACCTGGTGCATAAGCTCAGTTGGCTTGCATGCATGACCATGATGCAGCACAGTCATACTGCTCGAAGTAGAACGCTGCCACCACTGAGCTGGTCGCCAGCCACGAGGTCCTGAGCAGCTTGACTGAACAGTGGAGGGGAAGGACCAGCTCAGCGTGTTGGGTCATGGCGGGTAGTTGATGACTTCTATCCTGCCATCATGAATTTCTACTCGTGCGCTCTCATAGGGGATCTTGGGGCTCCCAATAGACTACATGCAAGTGGTCAGAGCTGCACAAGTGAGGCGGGCGTGTCTTTTCCACTCTTCTCTCCTTTCCGGCCTGCCAAACCTACGAGGCTTTGCTGCTAGATAGACCGCAATTCTTTCTTCTCTTTCTCTACACTACTCCTTTCCCTTTATTGCCTTCCGCGTTGTCGTCCTGTCCTGTCCTGTCCTGTCCTGCCCTGTCCTGTCCTGCCCTGCCCTGCCCTGCCCTGCCCTGCCCTGCCCTGCCCTGCCCTGCCCTGCCCTGCCCTGCCCTGCCCTGCCCTGCCCTGCCCTGCCCTGCCCTGCCCTGTCTCTGTTCTGTCCCTGTCATGTCCTTTCCTGTCGTGTTCCTGTCCTGATCTTAGTCGGACTGACCTCTACCACACTCTCCCATCCTCCGCTTGTTCCCCGATAGAGGCCCCGAAGTCAGGGTTTTCACGTACCAAACTTAAAACGTTTTTCATAAAATACATATACAGAAATATGTATCAAGTTCGGCGTCTCAGCTATGAAAAAAACTATTTATTTTCAAAATAAATTAATTTAAATATTTTAAACCAAGGTTATGTACAGATATCTTTTCTACCATGTTGGTACAGATATGAAAATCTTTGTACCAATTACTGCTATTTTAGTCTTATGATTGAACCTATATATTAATTTACTTATTGAGTTTAAATAATTATTGAGTTTTTGATTTTCGAAACCTCCCCCTCCCGCCCTCCTGCCCCTCCAACTCTCCCGCCTGCCGGCACTATCCTCGTCCTCCCCTCCCATCCCATCCATCCGACCACCCACCCTGGTCTCCCTCTGGCTTTCCTCGCCCTCCCTCCCTCCCTCCTCCTCCTCTCCCTCCTTCCCACTCTGACTTTCTTCCCTCCCTCCCTCCCTCCCTCCCTTGCTCCTCCCATCCCTGCTTTACTTTGTCCCCTAGATGTTCTACATATAACCCCATCTTTCTCCTATTCTCATTTCACCCACTCATGTGCCTGTCTATCTGAATCGTGTGCTTTCCGCCAAGTTTTTCTGCCATCTATCATTCATGCTCTTTGCCTTGTTTTCCTTTTTGAAGGTTGACCTTCACTCATCACACGTCGACTCATTCCCTGCTCGTTCCCATCTCCGCGCATTCATGCTTCTTTTCTCGGCATCCTGGCTATAGCCTTCTTTCCTCGCATTTATGTCTCTCCTTTCTCTTCCATCCTTGTATCACTGCTATACCACTCTGACTACTCTACTTCTGTCATTTTACGTACATTACAAAAATTTCTTTCTTGCCCGCACTGATCTCTCCCTCGATCACCATCTGTCCATTACACTTTTTCTTCTGCAACTGAAATGTCACTACGCTTGCAAATCTTCCACTTTGTTCATCTTCACTCACACGAAACCTTTGCAGGAGTCATGGAGTTTCACTACACCAACCCCAACGTCATGACGAGCAAGGAGAGCCACCCCGTGAAGCTCAACGTGCAGCCAGCCATGGAGTTCGCCGTCGGTCAAGGGAGGATGGAGACTGCGTCAGGCAACGGCGGGGAGGACAACAGGAGAGGTCAGGCAGATGAACATGTTGATATGTAGCTGAATGCCGTTGCTCAGATGAGAACTTCAACCCAGCAAGGGAGGAGAATGCGAGAATGGGAGTTGTGATGAACGACAAAGAGAACATCAACCCTGTAAGATGTGATGTGCCAACTGTTGTTGTGATCTGACTGGATTTTGCTAGGCTACTGGGATGCCAATCCCAGCTCATCGCAACGTGCTGAGCTCCCTGTCGAGAGAGCCGCTGCGATCGATACAGATCCAGGCTGACTACAACGCTAGCGAGGTCTGATATCCGACGACTTTAGTTGAACCTGTCTGAAATTTTTGCTTCAGGAGAACGTGCAGAAGAAGAAGCAAGACAACGTCGCCAAGAAGCAGTTCCACCTTCCTGCCCGATCCCTCAGATAACTTGCTGGAACCTAATACACTAGCTACACCATCTTAATTATTTGTTATTTGTAAATTTACTGCTCCGACGACTTCAGTTCGTCCTACGTTTACATCTGATATCTCCAACGCTAGAAACTTCATCCAGTCACAAGTTTCTGGCAGTAGCAGGTCAGAGACTTTCAAACAGAATCGCGCCTGTTCCCGTACCCTCTTGAGCCTGGCGATGGCGAGCCCAGGGTTGAGACTCTTGGGACAAGTCTTGGTGCAGTTCATGATGGTGTGGCAACGGTAGAGCTTGTACCTGTGCCGATTGAGAAGTGCAGGAGGCGAGAGAAGTGCGCTGAGAATCGGGACGGAAAGAGGAGGAGCAGGGAAGACATTGGGGAACTCAAAAAGCTGAGCGAATGGGAAGAGAGGAGGGAATGAGGAAGGTCGGAAGGGGAGGGAGAGGGAGGGGAGGGAGAAAGGAAAAGAGACGAGGAGGGTTGTTGCTCACGTATCGTCAAGCATCTCCATGCGCTTCTTGGTGTTCTGATCACGAGAGTCGCAGATCCAACGGTAGGCCTGACAAGATCCATTATGTCCTCAACTGACATGGACATGCTCCTGACCTGCATGAGAACAGCCGGGCCGAGGTACTTCTCGGAGTTCCACCAGTAGGAAGGGCAGGAAGTGCTGCAGCAAGCGCACAGGATGCACTCATACCTGCCAGCGAACGTGACGAGAGGAAGCGGGGGACGGGGATGAAAGAAAGGAAGGTAATAAGGGTGGGGGGGGGGGGAGGGGGGGGGCGGGTGAGTATGGGAAGGGGGGGATAAGGAGGAGCTGCTTTGATGAATAAGAAGGGGAAGGAAGAGGGGGGAAGAGTCGAGCTCACATTCCATCAAGCACATCGCGGTCCTTCTTGCTCATGTAGTTCTCCTGCAAGCGAACGGTGTTGAGACCTTGGGCATCTACCAACGTTCTCCTCGACCTTGAAGTTGCCATTGTCGTCCTTGATCTTTCCTTCCTGCAAATACTTCAGGCTCCACGTGTAACCAAAAGATCGCTCACGTTGCCCTCCTTCTGAAGCCAGGGCTCGATGGTCTTGTACTGCCAACCTCATCAGCGGTCGACCATCCTCCGGGGATCTCGACGCTCTTACTTGAGCGTAGAAGTTGGTCATGTCGGGGACCAGGTCCTTGACGACATACCTGAAGACAACGTCAGCTGCATGCCGCCTGCTGCTCGCCAGGTGAAAGATACATGTGAGGGAGAGGATAGATCTTCGTTTTGGAGGAGGAGGTGTCGATTCGTGCAAGGCAGCTGCGCCCATGGGTTCAAACTCTCCCCCTCATGTCCCTTGTAACTCTTACGCAAGAGTGTTGGATCCATCAATGTTCATCGCACAGGAGCCGCAGATCCCCTATGGCTACCCGTCAGCTCCAAGACTTGGTCATGCTCGCTTCACCTCGCGGCAAGATCTACGGAAGGTCAAGGTAGAGTCCTGCTCGTTCTTGATCTTGAGAAGAGCATCCAGAACCTGTGCGAAACTTAGCGCCATGGCGGCAAGGGCACACTGAGCACCATGGGACCACACTCCGACAGATTGATCGGGTACGTCGCCATGGTGGGGCGGCTGCTCCACCAAGTCAACCAGCAGCAAGACCCTACACAGATCCGACCTGCTCTGATCAGGATCCCAGCGGTAGATCTGGAAGTACTTGATGCGCTTGCCCTGCAAGTGGTCCGTTAACAACATTCCATTCTCGACACATCCCTTCAAGGTGCACAAACAACACTGGCAGGACAGGAGAGGTAGCGAGCAGTTACCTCAACGTTGGCCTCCGGCTGGAGCTTGAGGGAGAGCGAGGCAGAGGAGTGGAAGGAGGAAGCCTGGGCTCCTACAACAGCCTTGGTGACTGATGGAGCCCTGGTAACAAGGCTCTTGCAAAGTCTTTGCATCTGCCAAGCATTGTCATCAACAAATTAAGCGAGAAGGAAACAATAGTATGTCAAGTTATGTCAGGAGATTTTTATCGATGGCTACCAACAACATCACGACAAATAGGTCGGAAGCGCACAAGATTGTTGCAGATATCAGTATTTCAAATTTTCTGTTCGTCCGTGGATTTAACTGTCATCAGTGGGCAGAGAAAACCAAAGACTACTACTACTTGTACTTGTATGTCAGTCATCGACCCTGATGCATGAGAGTTCTTCCGCCAATGAAATTTCCAAGCCTTCTGATGCCTGATTATCATAGTCGAACCAACAATTTTCATCCTTGTTCTGCAAATGAAAACGAACGCACTAGAAATCGAAGTATCTCAAAGAGACTTCCAAAAGATCTAATATTCACGCTTTCACATCTCGTCATGAGCAATCAGTGTATAGTCCTCTCTTCTTCCACATAGCCTCCCCCTTTTCCAGCACGTACTAACTGCTTATCATCGCTCCCTGCATGCTGCATGCTACCTTTCTCCCATCCTCTCGGTCTCTATCTCCCTTGATTGACATCAGTCTCAGGAAAAACTCCATGCTGCTGCTGTTCCTCCTCCTCCCCATCCCCTTCCTCCTCCTACTCTTTGTCCTCTGTCCCTTCATTCCAGCATGTTCCGCGCTGTCGCCTTACGCCTCTAACCACCCTCCTTTCACTACCCCCTCTCTTTCCCCTCCAGTACCCCACCATTCAGGCGCTACTACGTAATATCACGACTACCCTCTTCACAGAGTGATTGTACTACCCCCACCCCTACCTGGAAGACATCACCCTACCGCCAAAGAAATATCTTGCAACCTGATATTGATACAAATTGAAATCCTCAATTCAGATCGAGTAAATGTTTGAAAGGGTCATATCCTCCACCTCCGAGTACCCCCACCCACATCGATCCACATTTCCACCTCTTTACCCACCCACCCCCATTTTCTATCCCGCATCAGTCGTGTCGAACACCGGGCCGGCCGGTCGCTGCCGGTTGGCGGCCGGTCGCTGCCGGCCCTGAGCTGAGCTGACGGCGGAGCGGCGCCTCAGGAGAACGGTCCGGGGAGTCCGGCCCGGCCGGTCGCCGCCGGCCGGGTCCGGGTACGGTCACCGAGTCCGCCGATCCGATCAGCAGCGCCGCCCGCGGCCCGGCGGGCCACCCGCGGCGCGCGGCCGGGCAACACCGCCGGGCCGTGCCCGTTCACTGTCAACTTGGCAACTTCAAGGGGATTTGGCAACCGTGAACCGTTGCCCAACCGTGAACGGTTGAACGGTGACGCACCCGGTGACCCGGCCGCGCCGCCCTGTTGCTGAGCGGCCTGGCATTCACTTTCACAGTTGGCCCTGCACCGGCGTTGAAGTTGCAAGGGCGGCCGCCAAACCGTGAGCGGCTGAGATCAGATCGGTGACGGATGAGAGTCGCCGGTCGGACTCCGCCGGGACCAGTGGGAGCCTCGGCCCAGAGACCGAGTCGGCGGCCCGGGCCACTGACCGTGCCACAGTACGGCGGTGACGCCGGGCCCCCGCCGCGTTGGGTCGCTCCTGAGACCGGCGCCCGGTTCACTGAGTCACATTGACTCTCCGGCGGTGGCACCGCCCGGGGCCGCGGGCCGCCAGCGTGTCGGACCGTACTCGGGCAAGGCCCTGAGGCCCGACGCCGGGCCGCGCGGCCCGGCAGCCGACGGTGTGATCCGGCGGCCCCCGACTCAGCGGCCGGCGGAAAACTGACAAGCCGCCTTTGCGCCACTGCGGCCACTTGCCGCAAGAAGGCAACGGTTTGGCTAATCGAGCTCACTATCCAACGGCAATCTGTTCGAAAAGAAATATTTTCGTGTTTATTTTGCTCCATTTTTACCAGAGCCCCCTTCACAGATGTCAGCATCCCCTCAGCCTGCACATGTACATGTGCTTGCACACGTACCAGAGGGGACGTAGTCATCAGCATAGAACTCGTGCTAACAAGAGCACGCGAGGAAGCAAACAACAGAACTCAACGCAGGACAAAGCGCCTAGAAGACTGGAAGGCAAGGGAGGGCATTTGAGAACATGGTACAATAGTGGTAACGTTTGTTGAGAGATGATGGTCACGGACGAGGAAGAGAAGGTGAGCAGCGAATCCGTCGTGTATGCGGAGATGATGGAAGAGCACAAGAATTTTTGCAATGAAGAAACTGGATTTCATGGTAGTCTGTCAAGAGAAAAACAACTCCGCTGCCTGCAAGCATCCATCCAGCTCATTCTGAACAAAGCGCTGATTATCACAGCGACGGGAGAAACAGTTCAGCTATAGGAATCATCGATCATCCGATGCTTTTTCAAAAACTTGTATATATTTCTTTGTAGTGATCGACAAGATCGTATCAGTCGTTTGCTTTGTTTAAAAGCTGCTCTACACCGTATTGGATAGATTGAATCGTGTACAGTTGCTGTATAAACTTTCATCACAGAGCCTTCTTGCATTTCACACAACTTCCCTCCACAACCACGTGGATCGGAGAACTCAAAGAGTTAGAAGGTAGGGAACACACTTGTGTTTCATCCCGCTGATTGTGGCTCGCGCACTGAATGAACGAGACAACTCCATAGATCACATCATAGACTGAGGTCTCTTGTCGAGGTACTTCTGAACTGGATAGATCCAGGCTTTTATGGTTTTTTCATTTCAACCGTCAAGTAACGGCAGGTACCCATACATTGATCAAGGATCGGACGGGTAATTGCCACTCCGCAGACAGTAGTAAAATGAAGGGGTGAGGCGGGCTGGCATCTGTAGGAGGCATAAGGGGGGCAGTGGGGAAGAGATCAAAAGTTGAACTTGTTTTATCACCCACCCCCACCCCCTTCCAAGGAGATCCCTTGTCATACCACCGGTATTTTTCAGGTCAAAAATACCCCTTGTGAGATCCGACCTGAAATCCTTTGGATGGTTACCTGATTGAAGGCCATGGTGGTTAAAAGACCCCTGAGATGCGTACCCTCCAAACCACCTGTGAGTACCCCACCCTTTCATGGCCTCACCGCCATGGCTCGTTTAAGTTTAAAAACTATTCTGGAATTTTAATGTTTTAGGATTTGTAACAGAATATGAACATATATCATTCCAATGCCTGGTAGTGATTCATGCTTTCTACGGAAGAATCTTGTAAATATATTTTTATTTACTCAAAACCTCTTATGTATTCCGTAACAGTAACACTGTTTAAAACTGTCCTAGATATTAAATGTAGATTTTGATTTTAAAATAAAACAAGGTTTTACTGGTACAACATTCCTCCCACCCGCGTGACCCGCCCGCGCTGTCCGGCTATGGAGGCGGCTGGGATGCCTATCGCCCATCCCTCCCACCATCCCCTTCTCTCGGGCACCTCCTTCAGTCGTCAAGACATCTTTGAGGAACTAGGTTACATGACTGGGCTTGTAGGATGGCTCGATTGAGGGCCCATGTTCTGTGTGAGTGATAATTGGCGGCCATAATGGAGATGAGAGAAAACGTTGATGAAGGTTCTTTGCTGGAAGCACGCTCCATAGAGGGAGGTTCAAAGAGAAAGTTAGATCAAACTTCATGTAGCTGATCAAAGTTGCTTTTGGTTTGTTTGCGGCATGTTTCCTTCAGCATCAACCTTTCCCCTCCTCCAACAGTCTTAAAATGACTGCTTTTGAGCATCTCGTGGTTGTTCTTGACTCAGTGCTCGAGAACCTTTAGAGCCCCAAGTACATGATTCAAAACTTGATGTTTCCATGTGAAAGATCTCACGAATGTGATTCAAAGCTTGATGTTTCCATGTGAAAGATCTTATGAACATGATTCAACACTTGTTGTTTCCTTGTGAAAAATCTTATGGAGACTCCTCAGGCAGATAATTTCGGAACAAGGAAGGGGGATGTCGCCTGTTGAAGTGGACCTGGCTACTGCCCTGGAGAGATGCAGTGGAAGCATGGAGCTCTTGAATCAGGTCGGATGTCCTTCAGCGACGCATGCTATGCCGCATCTTATATACAGTGGTTAGGTTGTCAGCGAGACTTTGACCAAGGCGGAAGCGGAGCAGATGCCGATGATCAGGAAGGCTGTCTCGGTGAGCATGCAGCTTCTTCGTGAGAGGAAGAGATGTCACTTTGAAACAAAGGAGGGAGATTCGCAGACAGCTCATTTTCATGCGCACTCCATCAAAGGTGCCAGCGCAACGATCGGGTTCGACTCGCTGAGCAAGGTACAAGTGCCTCGGGGCTCTAGCCCTGGGGATACTGGGTCTAAGCTTTGTCTGAAAGGCGGCCAAGGCGCTCGATGATCTCGTAAGAACAGGTTGAGTAAAGAAGTCTGTCTGTCTCGCTGTCAGCTTGTCTCACTTGGTTTGTATGCAGGGTCAACTGAGAACGCGCAAGAACTTGTTGACAACATGGAGGAATCTCTCAAGTGGGAGAAACATCGTCTGCATCTTTCCGGCTCTGAGGCAACCTTGTAGGGTCTGTTTGGAGTACTGGCAAGATCATGAGAGCGCAATGAACTCTGCACTGGAGAGATGTTCGGACGATCAAGTATGGAGGATGACTGCACATGTTCTGCAACACGTGACATTGTATTTCAGGAGCTCTTTCTTGAAATCGCGAAAGAGATGGCCAAGGATGTTGTCCCGGAGCAGGTAATATTCCCTGATTGCTCAGACTTCTTGCTTGCTGCTCCTTGCAAAGTCTATGCTAGTGTTCTATGGCTCGGTCATGAGGACCCTTGCGAACCAGTAATCTCTCAACTATGCTTCCGATTGGCGGTCTCGTCTCCTCCATCCTCACTGAGATGACTATGCACACCTTCTCATGATCAACTTCTGCTGGTCTCAAACGACTTTGATGCCGCACCTCTTTCAACTCTCCGTCTCATGTGAGGCTGACAAGGAATTCTTCAGCTGCAAGCTTTGGAAAGCGCGCTGGCAGATAATGACGTGGGTGGAGTGCAAACCAGTGCACAGCAGGTGCGGAAGGGGGAGGCGTGTGGGAAAATCTTCCAGGCTTATTTATCTCTGCAGCTAAAGGATGCTTCTGAGACGATCGGAGCCTCTGTTTTGATGAAGTCAGCTTCTTCCAAGCTGCTGCGCCCGAGCGCTCAGCCTGTTGTGCAGGTTGCTGGGTCGCCTTCTGGAGCTTTGCGACAAGGGCGAGACGGGGTGATACTAGATGCCTTGCTGTGCGTCTTGCAGAGCCCATCCTGACTGCCTGCCTTGTTCCAGTGGGATGGCAGAGATAGTCGAGGAGATGAAAGGCGAAGTCGCCAAGGTATTGCAATTTTGTCACTCTGCCCACCTCCTTTCCTTGAGCGATCAGCCTTCTGTCTCTCCCTGTGGCTCCTTTCTCCCTGTGCTGAGCTGCTGCCCACCTGATTCCTTCTTCCTGTCTGACCTGGTTTCACGCGGGTTCCCCAGGTCTCCGCGTTCTGGGAGTGTGCAGAGCTGTCGGATGATTAGGTTTTCTTCTCGCTCCTCTCAGACATGCTCGGCCCAGCCCTCAGAGAACTATCTGTTTGTCTCTGCCCCCATCTTTCCTCCGACCCTCTCTCAGGCCGCCCGCAAGTGACTGATGAGTCATGACCCTGCCATGACGACGCCCTTGTGACTGATTCACTCGTGCCTCAAGGCTGAGGCACATTGTCACAACAGGAGACATGTTTAAGTATTCTTTCAATGAAATCAACCCGCCCCCGACTCCCGGATCACATTTGACACCAGACAAGTTACCGGCGAGATTAGTAACCTCCGAGGCTCGCCGGCCGGGCCCGCCGTCCGATCACGGCAGTGGGCCGGCGGCCTGGAGTCCGGCCGGTCCGAGTCACTGATCGGACCGTCCGACGGTCGCAGCGCTCGGACTCTCAGAGTCTCTGGAGGCAGCGGGCAGCCCTTACCGCACGGTCACGTAGTACCGTACTGCAACTCAACGGAATACAAGTTTGTTAGACTTGTACTACGGTCCAAAGCCACGCAGATATCACATCCGCGCGAGTCGACCTTAGTTGTAACAAGACAGTTTTTGCATAAGACCAAGTTTAATGCACACAAAACTTGAAACCAGAATTGAGGAGCACATGAGAGATAGACTGTATCGGGGCTTAGTGATTTGACTGGCACGGCCCTGGCATACGCCCGCCGCTCCCGGCCATCACACTGACTTCAACGGCACGGCGGCGGGTGCCAGGCACTCCCGGACTCAGCGGGCGCGGCCCGGCGGCGGCCCGGCCGCGGCGCCTCAGCCCGGCCGCTCCGAGCTCGGGTGACGGTGACTCACTGCGAGTCAGGGCGGCGGGCCGGGCCCGCCGCCGCCCCCCGGGGCCCGGCCGGGCCCCGCCGGGCCGCCGCGAGGCGCCCGGCCGGGCCGGGGCGCCCAGTCACCGCCGGAGTCCGACTCCCGGCTCGGCCGCGGCGGACTCATTCAATGTGCATCGAGTCACGAGGAGTCCGGTCGGCGCACCCTGTCACGGCGGACCGTAGCGGCCCCGCCTCAGTGAGGCCGCCGGCGAGTCTGCCACACAGGCTGCTCCAGCCCCAGGCCATGTCCGCCGATCACCGGGCCGTTGAACGGTTCAAGGTCACCGGTTCAACGGTTGGTGGGCTGACGGGAGTCATCAGCCCGGCTTGAGTCGGACGCCGGGCCCGTTGGGCCGCGCGTAGCCTAGTAAGGCTTACCGTAGTCACAGCTCGGCGGAACAGCACACGGTTCGGAAATTGGACAAACGACGCGGTGTCTTGTCACTGTGTTGCCGCATGCCACTTGTAAGGCCCGGTCAATGTGATTGTCACGGTCAGGCTGCACTGCACTCAGTGCCTGCCGTTACCGTTTTGTCCGCCCGTCCGCCGGGCCCCGGCCCCGGGTCACTCACACTGTCACTAGTCACACAGTGAGAAGCGACCCGGCGGTCACTGGGCCCCGCCCCGGACCAGGTTACTTGGGCCGGGATCGGATCGGAGTCGGACATTCACTGAACGAGTCGGACCGCCGGCGCGGGTCACTGACGCTGCAAGTTCACGGTTTGTCTTGGCGCGGCCAGCCGGGGGGGATGCGGGCAAATGATGATGTTCCTCCCGAGAGGCATAGGGACACGTGGTCACAAATCGATTTAATTTTCGGTCGGGGTTTCCAGTCTTCACAATTACAGGGAAGGAATCAAACTTACTCGACTGTTTGGTTAAAATATTTCATATAATTGAATCTAAGTTTGAAATATTCAAACCTTGTACACCCCTGCTCAAAAGGGGCACACCACAGGACAGTTGACCCAATCATCCAAGTCGCATTGCCCTACCCTCCAGGTATATAATTTATATAGTAGAGACTATATATAAATTCATGTATCCCCTTACCCTCAGAGACCTTTTAACTTCATTTAGGGTCAACGACCATATTCCCTGGCCAGCCGAAGAAGTCTCTCTCTACACCCCTGCTACCACCCCTACCTTGTTAAAACATAGTACCCTACCACACAGAATGCCTCCTTCCCTTTTGGGTGGGCCCTGGAACCGAATATCATTGATCCTGCAAGCATGGCAGTATTATATCAGTACCTGACTTAGATCATTGTGATCTTACGATCCAATCTTATCTCTCTCGGATTGGCCACCCCTTTGAAAAGCAAATGGTACCCTACCCCACAGTACATACTCACCCTTCTTTTTCTTCCACCCCCTGTTTCCCTTAGCGGATTCCGCTTGCGCCCCAGTGTGCCCAATACGACCCCTCCACCCCTACCGTTGACTACCCCCAAGTTTGAGGTCAAAGCACCGGTGTAATTATCGACCCCGACCCCCACTGGGAAAATTGGTGTACACCCTACCCATCGAATGTACTGATGACCTATTCACCGGAGTTTGAGCAAGTGAAGCAAGTTTACATGGCTAGTTTTCAATAATCTTTATATATAGTTCAACTTATCACGCTTAAAGTTTTCCAAAATGTTAAACAGAATTTTTCAAATAAATGAATTGACCCTCTACAGAGAAAACTATTTACTACTACCCCATAGGTTTGAATTATCACCCCACCATCGATTTGGGAGTACCGTACCCACCGTCTCTTATCAACAACCCCCCCCCTCCCAACACATCCCACAGCCGACATGCGCGCTCCGGCGACGGTGTTCCTCGCCATGCTGGCAACGGCTACGGCCAACATGCAGGTTCGATGTGATAGCTTGCAACGTTCTCGGCATTGTTTTGTGAAGACTTCAATTCTTTCATGTCTCCTTGATCTGTACATACTGTTCTCATGATTTTGTTCTCTGTTCGGCACGCATAAGCAAGACAAGGTGCTCGTAATACGATGAGCTGCACCCACGATCCTTGCGCTTTCATGTAGTGCTGAAGCCGATTTCAAAACATGTGTGACATGAAACGACCGTAATTGTTACCTTGGTGTTTTTGTGTGTTGTCCGATCCTGTCAATTTGCTCTGCTTTCTAAGCAAAGATGGGTATTCTTTGAGAAGAAGAGAAACAGAGCAAAAGTTGTCTTGCATCTGAGTTCTGTGAATGACTCTGAGATGCTGCATCTTGCCAGATCCATTTTAAGGATGACAATACTGAATTTTCTTTTTTGCCAGCCCTTCTCTCCATTGCGAACTTCCTTCGCTCCCTCTCGGCTTGCGCCGCTCGCTAAGTCTCAGGTTAAGCCCCAACATAGCTGTATCCTCCTGCAGTCTGATGCATTTCCAGTTTTCGGCAATGAGACTCCGAGGGGGCGCTCCTGGCATCCAGTCCATCGTCGCCAGAGAGGTACTCAATCTCGATACGCTTTACCCCTGATGGTTCAGCATTGTGACCTTGCTTCTAGATCCTTGATTCTCGTGGCAACCCAACTGTCGAGGTTGATCTTACCACCGATGTTGGGACTTTCCGTGCCGCCGTGCCATCTGGTTGCAACGTGTAGACCCGGTTGGGCGCCTGAGGATGATGGTATGAGTTCAGGTGCTTCCACTGGCATCTACGAGGCCTGCGAGCTCCGTGATGGCGACAAGTCGAGATACCTTGGAAAGGTCGGGATCTAGAAGTTTGCTCCATGATAGGTTGAAGGAGTTGTGGTAGGGTGTGAGCAAGGCTGTGAAGAATGTGGAGGAGAAGATCGCTCCTGCTATCAAGGTGCTCCTCATTGCAATGATTGGAAGTGCGCAAACCAACAGTGTGTGCTAGGGAATGGATCCGACCGACCAGGATGCCATCGACAAGAAGATGATCGAGGTTGATGGAACCCCCAACAAGACCAACTTGGGTTGATTGCAAATTTGTTCTCTGTTGGTTTTTTTAACTGTACAACAGGTGCCAACGCCATCCTTGCTGTGTCCCTCGCCGTGGCCAAGGCTGGTGCGGCCCAGAAGGGAATCCCTCTCTACCAGCACTTTGCGGTTGGTTTGAACAAGTGCGTCTTTAAGAATTCTGATGGTTGTGCAGGACATGGCTGGTGTGAAGAAGTTCGTGCTCCCTGTCCCATGGATGAACGTCATCAACGGTGGATCTCACGCTGGCAACCGCCTTGCCATGCAGGAGTTCATGATCGGAGCGACTGGTGAAGCTCTATTTTTGAGCTTACGAATGTTCTTGGTTTTAACCTTGATCCCTCAACCAGGAGCTACTTCGTTCAAGGAGGCCGTGCGCATGAGCTGCGAGGTCTATCACGCGTTGAAGGTGCTGCAATCCATTGAGTCACCTTAGACTAGCTGATGCGATTTTTGTAAAAGGCCGTGATCAAGAAGAAGTACGGCATGGATGCCTGCAACGTTGGTGATGAGGGAGGCTTTGCTCCCAATATTCGGGTAAAGTAAAGGGTCCATCAAACCGGTGAGGAAGGCTCATCGAATGTTGCAGGACAACAAGGAAGGACTTTCTCTCCTCACCGAGGCCATTGCCAACGCGGTTGACTATTGCTCTCTGCTCAGCTCAACCGTGTGAGTTTGATTTTCTGCAGGGATACACTGGAAAGATCAAGATCGGAATGGACGTTGCTGCCTCTGAGTTTTATCAGGTCATCTGCTCGTATGGTGCTCGCACTTGTCTGATATCAATGGTAGGATGGAAAGTACAACTTGGACTTCAAGAATGACAACGCTGATCCTTCCATGGTCGTGAGTGGTGATGAGCTCATCGAAGTAAGTCCCTTTCCGTTTCATAATTGACTTCTCTGGGCTAACGTTTGCCAGGTCTACAAGAGCTTCACGCAGGACTTCCCTGTGGTCACTATTGAGGATCCCTTCGACCAGGACGATTGGGAGCACTACAACAAGTTCAACAGTCAAATGCCCCACACCCAGGTGACGTTGCTCTGGCTGAAGTCGTCCATTGGCTGAAACAGCGATCAGATTGTTGGCGATGACCTTCTTGTGACCAACCCCAACCGCATCAGCATGGCCATCGAGAAGAAGGCCTGCTCCGGCCTCCTCCTCAAGGTCAATCAGATCGGAACTGTGTCCGAGTCCATCAAGGCTTGCAAGATGAGCCAGGAGCAGGGATGGGGCGTCATGGTGTCCCACAGGTGCAGGGAAGGGAGTTCTGCTTGTTCGAACTCACGCACTCTTGCCAGGTCTGGTGAGACTGAGGACACAACCATCGCTGATCTCGTCGTTGGTCTCGCCACTGGACAGATCAAGACTGGAGCTCCCTGCCGTGCTGAGAGGACTGCCAAGTACAACCAGCTCATGCGCATCGAGGAGGAGCTCGGCTCCCAGTGCACATATGCTGGAGAGAAGTTCCGCTCCCCCCTCAAGTAATTCGTGCCTGACTTCTTCAGCATCTTTACTCTTTGATGATTATTCGGGGTTATGTGCACAAGATACGAAGTTAAACTTGCTTGTGGCTCAGCAGTCCAACGGAAGCTTCTATCCAACAAAAGTGTCAACACTCAAAATCTCATAGATCATCGCTGCTCTTCACCTTGCCAGGAGTGTCCCTGTACATCTCGGCACATCATGGGAATTCCTGACGGCGCCGAGCGGGCTTTGCTTGCTTTATCCGACTCCCTCGGGGAGTCAGGGCACTTGCGTTGCTGTTGCGAACGAGCCAGAAACATGGCGTTGGAGTTGGCATGTGCCCCGTAGGAGTGGAGGATGGATATCCACTGATTTCTGACCTCTTCGTTCTCAGCGAAGATGTAGATAACCTCTTCGTCGATTATGTGTATCCGACTTTCCTCGATCTCCTTGGTCCCCAAGGCGAAGCAATCTGTGTGCTCGAAAAAGGCTGAAATGACCGTCTCTCGCAGCAAGAACTTCCCCATCTCCTTCTTGAAGTCTCTTCCGCCAAAGATTGACAGCAAACCCCTCCCGTCGATAGTCAGCATGACCAGCATGCCGCTCTTCGACCCGAAGCATTCTCTCAGCTCGAAGTATCCCTTGAAGTCCTGAGACGGCTTGGCTGCTTCTAGATTGAGCCTTGGCAGCGCATCCGAGGACTTGGGACTGATCTCTGCTGCCCCAATGTCACGATTTGTGTTGCGATCAGCAGGAGGGGAAGTAGGAATCTTGTACTGTCGAGGAGACGTCCCGGGGGATGAGTACGATAAAAGAGAGTTCTGTATCCAGCTCCTCATCTGATTGATATCAGCGTCCTGCTTTCCCATCCAACTATTCAAGATGTTGAGATCAGTCCGGCCTCCATGCCTCAAGCTCTCGTCAACGGCAAAGTTCTTGTCATGGCTGAGGTCCCCGGCACGAGATTGATCGAATATCTTTAGATCCTTCTTATCATTGGCCGTGTCATCCTGCAACTTGGACAGATCACCAAGACTGCAGGATCGAATCATCTGGACTGCAGTGAATCTGCTGCAACAAGGGATCAGTAAGGAGCAATCGATGTCGACTGATGCCTTTCAAAAGCAAGTAATCATCCTACTCATCCCTTCACAACCATCGCACCGCTATGTCATTAATCACATCTATCAAAGATCTAACACATGATCTCTATCTGCTTGAAAAGTTCAATGGAGGAAATGACAGGCTATTTTCAAACAACTCTGTCCCCGTTCTTCACGTCTTCTCTGTTCGATAGCACTCCAAGTGTCACTGAGGTACAACTGTCATTTACATCAGGCATTTGAATCGCTTCTGTGATTTTCCTTGTTTTCGAGATAGCTTGCACCGTTATTGAGTCACCTCAAAACGCATATTGCTCGTGCGCAAGCGAACAAACCACTCTTTCAGCCTGCCCTCCTTTCGTCCTGGAGTGTTCTTTCCGTGGTTCGGTTACACTATACCATCGATGGTCTCCTACCTCCTACCTCCTACCTCCTACCTCCTACCTCCTACCTCCTCCTCCTCCTTTACATCGATGGTTACGTCATCTCCCTCATCTTCTTCCTCTTTCGTCTGCCTCCACCATCGCTTCCTCCCGTTGCCTGTGCAAACCAACATTTCTTCTTCCCTCGCTGCCTTGTATCCTGGGATGGTACCCTACCCTGCTAAAACTTGCTACAAGATTCGACTTTTTAAGACATACTACCCCACCTTATCATTCTGCGTTTGTATTTTGCTACTACCCCCGCAAAAGGATTATTCTGATATGTTGAACTACCCTACTACCCCCATGATACTACCTACCCCAACCATAAGACTGCCCGCACCTAAAAACTCAAAAATTGGCTGTCCCACCACCCTTGTGTATGGGAACCACCGACCGACACATATACTACCCCACCCCTACCCTGATATCCAAGGTAAAACATAGGGGTCAGGGTAAGACAATCATGATGCCCCAAAAAAAGTCACTGACCTGCAAATAGTAGGTAGGTAGGGTTCTGTGCGGAAAATAAGTTACCGGTACTTTATAGTGTATTTGTACGGGTACTTCAACACAGATGCAGTCCTAAAGGGGTGAGGTCATCCTATTCTGACTGGATCCGGGTTTGAACTCGAAAACATGTCATTTCAAAATTCTTAAAACTGTTGTAGTGGTTGCTCCGATGTCACAGGCCTCCTTTTAAGAGGGACGGTGATTACCACCCCCTTATTTCCCTGTTAAAGGAAATCAAGGATGGGGTGGGTCACCCCGGCCCCTTTCCTCCGGTGACGGTGGTAGTAAAGTGACCACCTGCATCTCGAGGTCCCAGGGGGCTCTCCGAAACGTCCGGACATGCGCGCCGAATGAAGAGGAGGAGGAGGAGGAGGAGGAGGAGGAGGAGGAGGAGGAGTGCAGAAGGTAAGCTGGGAGGTGAAGAAAGTTTGAACAGATCCGAGCAGACGTACATGAGCTGAGGAGACTGACTGACTGAACTCCTCGCGCTCTCAGTCTCTCGTCTCTCGTCTCTCGTCTGCGCTCCCTCTAACCACATCCCCGTGTAGGATGGCCACTGCCCGCCGATCGTGACGAGAAATCTGCTCGTCGGGGATGGTGATGGGTTCGCCGCTGACTACATGCCATCTACATTGGAAAACAGATCGAGCATAAGGGGTGGACGAATCTTGCTCAAAGAAGCGTCTCATACGAAGGGGATTAAATCTAGCGCGGCACAGGACCATTGGCAGCAGGACAAGGAACGGAGTTGAACTTGAGCGTTTATCAAGGGTTACATCATTCACATGTGGTAATAAAACAAGGCCAAGTCAGCACATTTACAACTCCTGCAACGAACAAGAACACGATGGGTGGCGCGGGGAGTCGTGGAGGGCAGGGTGAGATATCTGCGTTACTTCCCGTCCATGTCCCGCAGGATGTCTTTGGCCGCCTGCGTGGAGATGTAGCGAAAATCCGAGACGCTGCCGAGTTTCTTCCAGATCTCTGTTTCTATCGGCACGTAGCAGTGATCTGGTATGCGATCAGAGCACGAAGGGGTCGAGGGGAGAGGGAGGAGGGAGGAGGGGAAGCAGGGAGTTGAACGAGTAGGGAGGCAAAAGGAGGTCAAGAGAGAATGGAGACAGAGGAGAGGGATGAAACGATGGTTGGACAAGGCAGGAGAGAGGGAGGGGAAGGGAGGGGAAGAGAGGAGCAGGGAGAGGGAGAGGGAGTAAGTGGAGGGCTAAAAGGGAGCCAGTGGGATAAGGGAAAGGAAAAGAAGCTGATGAAGAGCAGGGACAGGCATCGCAAGATTGAGAGCGAGAGGAGAGGAGGGAACAACGAGGAGGAATGGGAGGGAGGGAGGAGGGGGCGAGGGAGAGGAAAGTGCCATGTCTCTACCTATGCAGGAGAGGCTCACCCCGAGCAGGGCAGCAGCTCTCCTGTGAAGGTAGTTGTCCTCGTCCTCTTGCAGTTGGGTGCTGAGCCTGAGCCCCCTGACACGCTCAAGGTGGGTCGGGAACGGCTCGACGGGAAGGCGGCGAGGACGAGGAGAAGTCGGAAGAGAGTGTTTCTTGAAGGAGTCTCGTGCTTCTTGGAAGACCTTCACGTACTGCAGGTGCAGTGAGCCCAAGGAGGAAAAGGAAGAAAAGGGGTTGGGGGGAGGAGAAGTGGAGTGGGGGGAGGGAGGATACTGGGAGGAGAAACGAGAGAGAAGGAGAGAAGAGGTTGAGGTAAGAGAGATATTGAACATGAAGCTGACATGACGATGGCAAAGAAAGAGTTTCACCTGATCCAACCATAGCTTCTCTTTGGCAGGAATTTTGATACCAGAAAAGATTTGAGACCTTACAAACTCTGTGGAATTGCAAAATCATTGAAGGCTAGGCAAACCAACAAACCCTCATTCCACGACATTATCGTTGTGGTCATCATTCTCTCCATCGCAACCATCATCATCATCATCATCATCATCATCATCATCTCCATCATCATCGTCATCATCACCACCACCATCACCACAACAATCATCACCCGCATGTTTTTCTCTGCTTCTCTGCACCCCAACATCGTCCGGGTAAGATGCCATGATCTGTCTCACATCCTTCAAAGACCATCTGCAAGCTCGTCAGGTCCAAGACAATGAAACAAGAGCCTCACATGGGCTGTTCGCCTCCTTCTCCAGGAACCTGCCGACTTTCCGCTCTCAGCTTCTTCTGCATGTTTTGCCTCCTCCACCATGGGATCTCGTCGCTCCCAAGGATCAGCGACTCGTCGTGGTACTTGGGTTTCGTCCAGGTGTAACTTTCGCAGTATCTGGGCAAGGATGTCAGCGGAGGAGGAGAAAAAGGACGATGAGCAGCAGCAGGAGCAGCAGTGGCAGAAGAGGGGGAGGGGGAGGGGGCGGGGGAGGGGAAGGAGAAGAAGGAGAATGGAGGAGGAGAAGACGAAGAAGAAAGAAGGAAGAAGCAGAAGAAGGAGCAGAAGCAGAAGGGAGCAGAAAGCAGGCTCAGGGACTCACTTGAGCATTTTCTTTGCCATGAGACAATAGCTGGAAAACCATGTCAGTGAAGGCCATAATGCCTGCACTCCGACAAATGCAAACAAACATAATCGTCATCATCGTAAAACCATCAACAAACATCGTTGTCGTTCTCGTTGGTGTCGTCATCATCAACATCAGCACCATTACAAACGTTTCCGTCAAAATAATCTCACGCGATAGCATGGACGTGAGGGTGCGCATATTCAGTGCAGT